TTTCAGCACGTGAGACATGTATTTACTGTCTTGTTGTGCGTATGCGTGAGTGCACCTAAGCTTTGTAACATCTACTACCATTGTAAACGACCAAGACAAATTTCCCCCTGCGAGATGAATAAAGATTGTCATTGTCATCTGAATACCCCCCCCCAGCACAAATCATTTTGACAGTTGGGCCAAAAGTGACGATCCATCTGCGCACCCTGCTGTCATTTTCTCAAAGGGCTATTTATTTTAAAACATTAAACACCACAGAACACTATAATATAATAGTAAAATTCCTTTTATTTATCAACACTATTAGTAGTATTAGGGAGAGAAATTTCGAGAACGAGAAAGAAGAAGAAGAAAGGGAGAGAAATGGAATGAAATTGAAAGTTTGGCCCGGCATACAAGTACTTTTCCAGCTAGGGCACAAAACATGGTGCGTGTGCACTTCACAACAGAATGTTTCCGTTGACCAGGAAAGAATGGACTTCTTATAAATGAACGCTAATGTGTTGGGAAAAGATTGGTCTTTTTCCCAGAGCACAAACTCGCATTGTTAGTCTTCCTATGATTAGATCAAGAATTTTGAATATTTTTCTAGGTCGCTGGCCAGCAGAAGTGCAAAGCAAAGTTTAGTGGGCATAAGTAAATTAATAAAAGAGCTAAAAAAATGTTAACAAATGGACGAAAGTGAACAGGCTATAAGGATCAAACATGTTTTCCGCAAGTGAGCCTGAAGCAGGTCTAAAAAATAACAAGGGATTTACCGCATACATCCAAAACAGCAAAAAGTTACCTATTTTCATTTGAAAAAACACACACTTTAACCCATATCTATGAAACAGTCCAACAGATAGGTGAGTAATTTTTTTGGCAAGCAAGGAGTTGTCTAGATAGCCTTGGAATGAAATCGACAAGCTTACACTTTCATCAAAATGAGGGGGCAGGTTGGTGTCGCTGTCGTACAACCCAACTCCTGGCAAACCATCTCCATTACTGTTTACTTCCAGGGGAATATGTAAAATTTATGATGGTTCTGACTTACGTAGGATGACCTCCTCCCATCTTGTTCCACAGAATGCCATTTTGGTCTGCTTGGAACCTGTCCAAGTGATTGTAGTTGCAAATTGGGGCGCAAGTACATGCCTCAAGATGATATATGCGGTCTGTTTGACTTTCACACCTCCAAGCAGGGCGAGATAATTGACCTAATAAATAGAAACAGACAAATGAATGAAATGAGTGCTCCGGGGCATGACATTCATTTGATATCGATAACATCAGTATCGCTTTTTATTTTAAAATTAGTAGGAACCGATCCATCCCAGCCAATATTTACTTGTGTCAGAAACAAAAGTAACACAAATGAAGCAGTTTTTCTTAAGAGTATTGTTTCTTTTTCAACCCTGCCTTAAAGCGATCGATTGTATTGATACTCTCTTGAAACAGAATAGGTAGCGCAAACAAGGTACGTAAGCCGACTCACGGCCTTCCGAGCGCATGGCTTCGGTAGAATGGGGGTAATTCAGATCTCTGTTTCTTTACTCTTTTGCTATAAAACACCAAATGCTGAACACTTTGAAAAAGTTCAGATTTCCTTCTTTACATTAGTGTATGTTGTTTATTATAACCCGAGTATGAGCTGGAGAATCGCCGTGGAAAGGGAAACCCTCGCGGTCGGAATGCGAGGTGGGGCAGATCAAAATTGACACCCATGCATTCGAATGCTTTGCAGAAAGATTGATGATTAAATACCGTCTTTTCATTGGCAGAGAACTATACAGCTTCGAGCGTGGTTTCCCGTGGTTATTATTTTTGGCCTTTGACGTTTGAAAAAATCAAAGATAATTTTAAACACGAAATGTGTAAAATACCGGCTAAAAAAGGCACCAATAGAAAGAACCGTTCTTTTTCTTCTATTAGAATAAAGTCATCGGCTAGCAATTATTTTGCATGAATCCTTCCGCGAAACTACAGGGAGCACTCAGTACACTACAGTATTGAGTCGACTGACTCGCCGTGAAGGCTGGTGCGACGCCGGCCGAGACAACTCTGTGTTTTAATTGAAATAATGACAGATCATCGTGTTTGAGGCAATACAATACTGGTTTGTAATGACATATCACAGTCATGAAAAAAATTAGGCTTCATTTCTTTGTTATAATGATTGTACTCTGTTAATGTAGAGATGTTTGGTGCCCTTGGTACTCTTTTATTATCTGTCAAATATGGGGTTGCAGCCAGTTACCAGTTTCAGAAACATTTGATTATTATGTTAAATTGAAACAGTTGCCATTCTCTTAAACATTGACTGAGAGGTAAAAGTATGGTACAAGAAAATCTCAGGAGACATAGGCCTTTCATATGCAACAGATGAATTTGACTTAGAGCTACTTTGAAAATTTAGTTACATGTACCTAGTATAATGCAAATATTTAGTTGCATTTGACGTGAAGTCCATTCTCGTGAAAATTCTGGGGGTTTGTCATAAGATTTTTCTCTGAGAATGAATAGTTTTCTACTTCTGTATGTTACCTTGTTGTGGGATAGCCAAGATAAATGCTAAATTTCAAGTCTCTATCTCAATTCTAAGACCCACATTGCTATGCAAATATGTTGCTCAACTTCGGAGGCCATTTTCTCCTTTTCATGTCTCCTTACCTCGCATACTTAAAAGTTCTGTATTTTCGACAAATATGGTCATGTTTACTTCATCCTTGTTTTAAATTGTAGGGAAAATATGATAATTTTAAAAAATAATATTAACTCATTTTTGAAATTTCCTTCATATGACTGATATTGACTGGCAGGGACACAACTATGGTCAGCTATTGTGCTTTCTTGTGCTGAGCAGTGCGCAAAAATACATTGGCACAGTAAATGAAGGGCGGCTTCATGAATACACATACCCTCCCAAACTTTGTTAGCAAAGCAAAGTCACTAGTCCTACATGATCGTGAATTTGTTTTTAAAATGGTTTTAATGACACTTTGAAACTGTTCAATCGTCTCAAATTACTTTTTAAAGGTGTCCTTTGAATAGTGTAAGTGTTGTCAAGGGTTTAGGAGACAAACAATTGAGCGATAAATTGCTATTCATTTGGAGTAGAACTCAATCCAGATATAAGGAAAACTTTAAAGCCATTTTTCTCAAAACTTAGCTGCTGCAAAATTAACCATATCTCTCTGAAAGCACAGAGGCTATTTTAGAATCTTAAAGGCAAGCTGTTAAGAAATAATTTTCACACCACAAAATGTAATAAAATGCACTTCCTCAAAATGCGTCACACAATACTTTTCATCTAGCACACACACATATATAGATACTACGAGGGTTGTTCAAAAAGTTTTGCCTCCTCTTCAATAACTTCTAAAACTACTCAAGATACCTTCATGAAATTTGTACACAATCGACGTTCAATAAGTATACTCTCAAACCCAAAAAAAACAAAACTATGCTATGAATTCACACCTTTATGCTATTGCTGTTTACATCATGGAAGCTAACGTACATTGTCGCAGAGAAAATGGCGTCCAGCAAACCTATGAATGTGCGCTTAAAGCAAAGAGCTGTTATTGAGTTCCTTACTGCAGAGGGAGCTGCCCCCACAGCTATTCATAGGCGAATGAAGCTTATCTATGGTGAAGCATGTGTAGATAAGTACTGTTCGAAGATGGGCAAAGGAGTTCGCTGAAACCAGTCCAGCAGAGACAGATTTGCATGACCAAGCTCATTGTGGTCCTCCCAACTCAGCCAGTGATGTTCAACACCAGGAGAGAGTGGATGAGATCATCCAAGCAAACCGGCGGATCAAAGTAAGAGAGGTCAGTGAAATGTTAGGGATTTCTGTAGGGAGTGCTCAGTATATTATCCATGATGTGTTGGGTTACAGGAAAATGTGTGCACGGTGGGTTCCCCACATGTTGTCACCTGAGCTGAAATTGAACCGGTGATGAACTCCTGGCTCGTTATACTGAAGAAGGTGAAGCTTTCTTATGTCGTATAGTCACAGGAGACCAGACTTGGGTACACCATTATGACCCAGAGAACAAAAGACAATCAAAAGAATACAGGCACACTGGCTCACCTAGCCCCAAGAAGTTCAAAGTCGTTTCATCTGCAAAGAAAGTGCTTAAGACAGTGTTTTGGGACTGCGATGGTCCGATTCATATGGAATTTTTGGAACAGGGTTCCATTTTCAACTCTGAACGATATATCGAGACCCTGAGAAAACTTAGAGCACGGCTGTCACGAGTTCAGCCTGAAAAAAAATGCAATTTTGCACCAAGACAACGCCCGTTCACACACGAGTCGACAAACTCAAGAGGCCATGAAAAGTCTCAGATTTCAAGAGACCTTACCGCACCCATCACACAGTCCAGACCTTGCTCCATCTGATTTTTATCTTTTTTAAGTTGAAGTAGTACCTCAAAGGAAAAAGTTATACAGATGACTATGAAATTCAAGAAGAAGAGCGTCGCTGGTTCAGAGGAAAATCACATGAATTTTTCGCCGGTGGCAAGCGACAACTTATTCGACGTTGGGGGATCTGCATCGACATAGAAGGCAACTGTGTTGAAAAGTAAAGGTACTTTCATGTAGCAAACATCCTAAGCTTTCATTTGGTGTATAACTTTTGTATGTAGCATCAGTAATAAAGAAATTATGAACTTGGAGGCAAAACTTTTTGAACAACCCGTGTATAATACAATAGGTAAACCCACGGCAATATCTAAAAAAAAAAAACCTGACATCATAAGATACCATTTTGTCTTACCATGTGGTCTGCCACTGAAGGACTTGACAACATTTCCTCCGCCTTCTCAAACTCTCGTAAAGATGATATTGGTAACGTCACTCCTTCTGGTATGCTGTTATATGATTCATTTTGGAAGTCATCTAGAGACTTACAGATGTACTCTAGAGGCTTATCATTAGATACACGTACTGCTTCAAGAATTTCATTTTTCACTGACAGTATAAGCTCATGAAGTTTTGAAATTTGCTCCGTGTGCATGTCTGAGGAATATAAGTAAAAATGTATAATGAGAAAAAAAAATAAGGACAAATACTTTGTACATGATATAGTGGTCTCGACCTAAGATCCCACTGATTATGATCCCGTTTCACTTTAGATTTCACTTACATGTTTAAGGCAAGCATGAAAAAGATTTTGGTATTTTTGCTGTTCAAGACAACAGTATCTTGAAACATGACTACAGTGGCATTGAGAGGTTATATAAAGAACATGTACGAAGAATGTTTTAATTTTCACAAAAAATGTGGTCACCATTGCAGCCATTTTGAATTTGGAAAACATAGTGAATCAGGAACAAAAGGTAGATTTGAATCATCACGCTCATTTTAATCAAAGCTTGTAAGTGGCAGGATGTCGCTTACGAGCTCTGATCACAAGCGCGTTTGGGGAGGGGTGGACTTACAAGTTTTGTTTACTTACGATAAAAGACACTTTTATGCAGTTTTTTCATGTAAACCATCTGCTGGCGTGTGCACCGTAAACAGTAGAACGTAATGGTGTGAAAAAGTCAATTTCGCAAAAATTGTCGCTTACGAGATCTGATCACGGGGGCATCGATATGAAGGCCGTATCACCGAAAAGGTCACATTTTATAATGACTTATAACACTTACGAAGCATTTCAAGGGTGGGAAGAACAGTGACTGGAGGTGGTTGAGGTGATGAAGTTCGAGAGGAAGGTCCTGGTTGGTGTTCAGTCTCTGTAAAGGACTCGTCACGTCTGGCACAAAAGGAGAAATGCTTTAATTGAAAGTAGGCATTAATGAACTTAGTTCTGTTAACTTTTTTTCTAGTCTCCTTTTGTTTACCCAGCACGAATAATATCGACTTCATTTCAAAGGCAAATCATTTCTTTTTAAAAATTATTGATGGTTTTTGTACTAACTATATTACAATAGGCCCAGTTGTTTACAACATTAGGGAGTCTGAGGGGGGGGGGGGGGAGAGAATGCCCCTTTATTTTGAATTTTTTAAAGAACTTGGGGGGTGGGGTTCAGGTGGGCATGCCCCCGTCTTTCACCACATATCAATGTTTTGCGTTGGATTTGATTATCACTTGAAAACAATTGATTTGAAGTTTTAGTGGCCATATATGTGTTCTGCAGCAAAAAATATGGCATTTTAGCTCCAAACCTCTAGTTTAGATCTACTACAAAAAAGTTAACAAGTCAGTCAAGTGTTTAACTCATTCGCTACGCCGAGCCGTGGGGGGCGGCGCGGCTCAAGTGCCGTCAGTACGCTAAGCCGCCCCAGGCGGCTCGAGAACCGATGTTCAACTTTAGCTTGGTTTCTATTCCAATCCACATATCCACGTTAAAATAAAGGTCATAATATAATGTTGACTTCCGGGTCAAGCGTTTCCACCGAAATTCAGAAGTTTTGATTCAGTTTTGAAACACAATTTCGTAGTTTGTTCGACTTTGTTTTATCGCGAAGCCCAAATTATAGCCCTCTTAGTACTTTTACACAACAAAATGTATCATTATTTTGCTCACTAAAGAAATGTAGGACTCTTCTTTATAATATTGATACTATTGGACGCAAATTACCGGTGCACTGTAATTGAGAAATCAATATTTTTTAGTGCTAGATCTAGGCCTAGATCTAAATAGTCAAAATATTTTTTTCTCCCTAAAATCACTACTTTTGGGTGAAATTAATCAAAAAGTACCACTCAAGACATGTATAGGTTTATTCCAAATGCAATTCTGAATAATTCCATATAAGATACGCGTATTTTTTTCTGTTTGTGATCCTTTTTTCAAAATTATTTTAATTTTTTTTTTTTCAAAATCGGATGTTATGATCCAAATGTACAAATATTATGGAATGTATGTAAATAACTGCACATTTTTCAATATTTTTCTTTTCTATATACAGTTATGGTTATTTTGAAGTATCATTTGACTAGGTGCAAACATATTTTTTTAGTTTCACCTGAGATTATACATTTTTTATTTTCCAATTTTATCCGCATCCAATCACAATTGTGTTGCATAATCGCCTCTTACAGGAACCAAAGTTGAAAAATACGCAAATAAATAATGCAGATGTATTCTACAAACCATACTGAAAATGTTGGTATAATTATAATATGTTGATATTTATTTGAATTTATGGCCTCAAAGACCTGTGAACTGCGCACTAGTCATCATCTCATTTCGCCCTCCCAAAAAGAATTCGTCCACAAGCCGAAAATAATACGTAGCGAATGAGTTAAACAATACTAAGTCCAAATGCAGTGTTACCACAAAAGAAATAGCAGAGCTAGACATTTTAGTATAAGAATACACATACGTATAAGAAAGGGTATTGTGTCTGGAAACAAAGCCAAATTTTTTTTTAAATCTGCAGAACTTAGCATTCTTAGATTGTCATAAACATAGCCTACAACATTGGCGTAATTAAATTTGTGAAAAAATGTTCAGGTGCTGGAAATGAAATATAATATATACAGTCTACTGCAGGGTAAGCGGGGTACGGAAATATCTTCGTACAATCCAAATTCTAGGACATATTAATGGAGATAGACAAATTTTGAAAACTGGGTTCAAATTTTACATTCTTCTTCCTTGCTCTCGAAAATTTTACATGATTTAAGCCCAGTGTGCCAGGCCAACAAAAGAACAAAGTTCCAACTAAGTCTCTTAGATCATAGCTGCCACTCAGGAATTTCAAAAAAGGAGGATATTCATGCGAAAGCGTATGCGCGCTCTCCGAAGGCCAGAGTAAAACCATTGAGATCCAGAGGCAATATATACTGGAAAACCTAGCCTATGGTTTTGGAAGGGAAAACTGTCAAATTTGTTAACCTTAGGCAACTGAATTAAAATGTATTTGAACCCCCCCCCCCCCCAAAAAAAAAAGAAAAAAAGAAGGCAGTAAGTTGACAAACAAGCGTTTGAGTCAATTTGACACAGTTTGGAATTGGTGACTAAAAATCCAGTGTTTGTTGCCAGCTGGTGTCTTATAAAAAGGTTCCTTTCACTTTAAACTTGTACATCGATGTAGAGCACGCGCAGTATTGGATCAAGGAGGCAACACCTTTGCCGCAGTACTGAGCACTCCTGTACAATTGCGGTCCCGTTCGCACTTAACTTGGTAGTGCCCCTGTAGTGTGTAGATCTAAATTGAATTAAAATTATAGCCTAGGCTATCTAATCTAGATCTAGATATCTAAACATGTGAAAATATAGATTATATCTAGAGATAGATTATCTAGATCTAGGTTCACTTCAACAGCCCCAATAGCCGTCATGTAAACAAACGGGACCACAATTGTACAAGAGTGCCGCGGGCCGCGATTTCTTTATCACACCAAACGCAAAGTGCAGCAAGCGGCTTGTTCAATTTTCTAATGAACTTTTCAAGTCGCACACCGGCTGCTTCTCATTCCAGCTCCTTTTCTTTTGTTTTTGCATTCTGCATCAATTTCTCTCGAATTTCCGCCGTTTTCAATGACAACTCGGCGCGCTAACGTCCCGATGCCCGATCGACACTTCGTTGCTCCACAATAAACAAAGTGAAACTAGCGCTAGGCCTAGAAGAACGGAAGTAGAAAGCTACGGGCAAACATGCGTCATGCACAAGCTGCGTTTTCCTCTCTCTCCCGGTTTGGTGTTTTCCGCGTGTAAAAAAAAGTATCGCAATTTGCGACCGAGAGCGGTCCATCGGAGGAAGGAGGAAAGTAGCGGGAAAAGCTAGATTAAGCGGAGTTTCCGCTATTTAGCGGGAAAGTGGCAGCTATGTTAGATGGACACAAAAAAGAGTTTCAACTGCAGTTGAGGAACAGATTTCAACCTCTGGTTGATCTTGGTGGAGAGGACATGGGAGGTGGATACACACTGGACCAAGGTCAAAGAAGTAGAAGTCTTTACATCAACATGTCAAGAAGAGCTGGGGGGGGGGGGAGAAGCACAAGAAATGGATTAGCCAACACTCACTGGATTTAATCAGCATAAGAAGACAACTGAAGGCAGAAGCGAATGCTGCTAGAACAAGAGGATCAAGAGCGGATGCATTGGAGCAGTACAGTACAACAGCTAAGGATGTCAAAATATCAATAAGAAAAGACAAGGAAGAATTCATGAACAGGCTGGCAGAGAAGGCAGAGGAAGCAGCGGTAGGAGGGCACATGCGAATCCTTTACCAGACCATAAAGGACCAAGAGGGAAAAAACTTTTTTTTTAAGGAAGCTCAGTCGAAACGATAGGTAGAGCATTTCAACAGTCTCCTGAATAGACCACCACAGAATAACCCTCCAAACATCCCATCAGCAAAAAATGAGTTACCAATCTGCTGTGATACTCCTTCAAAAAAAGAGATTCTGAATGCCATTAAGAAGCTGAACAAAGGTAAAGTGGCTGGTTCTGACCAGATGCCACCTGAAGCCCTAAAAGCAGATGTCAATGTGACGGCAGACCTCCTCGTCCCACTGGTCGCCAAGATCTGAAATGAGAGCAAGTTCCCAAAGGACTGGAAAGAAGGACATCTCTTGAAGCTTCCAAAAAAGGGGGATCTCAGCAACTGCAGCAACTACAGAGGGATCACTCTTCTCTCAATACCAGGTAAGGTCTTCAACAGAATCAGTCTGGAGAGAATCAAGACAGCAATGGATCCAAGACTACGGAATGAACAGGCTGGTTTCCAGAAAAATCACTCAACCACTGATCAGATTGCCACGCTGAGGATCATTGTGGAACAATCCCTGGAGTGGAACTCCCAGCTGATCGTCAACTTCCTTGACTATGAGAAGGCCTTTGACAGTACAAACCGAGAGCAACACAAGAGAAGATAATGAGACACCACGGAATCCCACAGAAGTTGGTGAACCTCATCAAGAGCATATACGATTAGACAAGTTGCAGGGTTGTACATGACGGCCAGCTCACAGACAGTTTTGACATCAAGATTGTTGTAAGACAGGGATGTTTACTATCACCTTTCCTCTTCACACTGGCAGTCGATTGGCTGATGAAGGAAACCACCAGAGGACACAGAAATGGTATACAGTGAACCCAGGGACACAGTGGACGATCTGGATTTTGCGGACGAATTGGCGCTTCTGTTGCATACCCAGGAACAAATGCAAACAAAGACTTCAGTATTAAACAGCCTATCAGAGTGTGTTGGATTGAGAATCCACTTCGGAAAGTCATAGGTCCTAAGGACAGACGCACAACAAAAGGAGCAGATCATAATAGAAGGAAATGCACTACAAGATGTTGAATCTTTCTGCTATCTTGGGAGTATAATTGACAGAGAGGGAGGAACAGGTGCTGAAATTAAGTCCCCCATTGGAAAAGCACAGGATGCTTTCATATCTTTGGATAGGATTTGGAAGACCAGAGATATCTCACTTCGAAAAAAGTTGAGGATTTTCCATTCAAATGTGAAATCAGTCCTGTTGTATGGATGTGAGACATGGAACGCATCACAGACTTGCACAAAGAGGATCCAGGTTTTCTTGAAAGTTACTGAAGACCAGATGGACAACAGGGTCACCAACTAGGAAGTGTTAAGGAAAACAAGATAGATGCAAGTCAGATATGAGGTAGGAAGAAGGCGGTGGCGATGGATTGGATACACTTTCAGGAAGTCAGGCAGCTGCATAACAAAGAAAGTGTTGAATTGGAATCCACAGGGTAAGAAATTAAGGGGAAGGCCGCAAGGAACCTAGAGAAGAATCAAAAATTGACGTACAGAAAAGTGGGAAGACATGGAATAACACATCAAGAGGCTAGCCCAGGATAGAGAAAGGTGGAAAGTGTTTGTCCGTGGCCTATACCCTGGAGCAGGGTGAGAAAGGCAATGATAATGATGCCAGGCCAACAATCTGGAGTTGGTTCATGGTAGTTCATTTAGCAGATCTGGGTTTTTGACATTGGTTTTTAAAATTAACTTCTGCTGGATTGCCCTTTTATCTTGACAGAGAAGTTTCCCTTTTTTTGCACAGTAAAATTTTACTTTAACTACTCCCACAAAGATGCTCTGCTTTTGGCCATAAAACAGTAGCAGTTCATTCATCTTCAAGAAAATTTCAAAACATCAAATTATGCCACGGAAACCCCAAGTTATAAACTCATGCAAGTCGTCGACTCTCCACCCCCCCTCCCCCCT